ATCTGGATTCAAATGTCGCCTTTTCTACTTTACTTACTTCCTGTGTGGCCTTGGGCAAATGCCTCACCTCTCGGGGCTTTCCTTATCTATAAAATAAAGAGATTGGACTGTGACATTTGTCCAATGTCTAAAATCCTTTCAAATCGACAAGCCTGGTTGTGGCCCAAAGAGTCCCTGGAATGAGGATCGCCTGCCTTTAGCAAACACTGGGCCTGCCTCTGCAGCAGTTCCTAAGGGACAGGGGAAACATTGATCTAGTAAACAATTATTGTCTTCTGGTAAGAAGCTCCAACTAAGAAAGGATGAAGATCGTAATTATTTTTATTTGTTCATAAGGTTCTTTTTTTTTTCCAGTGGGTAAATTCACAGTTAGGCAGAACTTTTTCTCATATGCCTAATTTTTCAAGGAAATTATCCAAAGCCCTTTGCATGCTTGTTATATAAAATCATCTGAAAGGAAACTGGGGGAAGCAGAAGCAACAGCTCAGGTTAAAGACTTTTGTTAAAGCGCCTGGAATTACTGATGCTTCCGATGCCCCTTCTACGCTGAGACCTGAGCCAAAGGAGCGCTCCAGCAAAGAAATACAATTTCAAGTTCACGTTAAAATGCCACAGTTGTGATCAGACTTCACCAAAAGACATGTGGCGACATCCTTATTTTAACCCAATCTTGCTCTTTAATTTAATTCTTGACAAAAGGTGAATCTTCCCTAGATAAATGTTCACCCAGAACACACAGAAGACCTACAAAGGAATATGACTGAATCTTTTTTTTTTGAAAATACAAACAAGTAGCAGGTGACAATAATTCATAGATTTATTTTAGCTATTTTCTGACACTAAAAATAGCAATAATGTAAGACTCTCAATACTGTATCTTGTCTTTCTCTTAATAGGCTCCAATGACTCCTTCAAATCCTTCTGTAATCCTAAAACCTCACATATCTGGAGATAATTATAAAAGTATTACTGAAACAAAAAGGCTGGAGAATCTAAATATAACCCCTTTTTCTCCCTCTAATAAAGACAGAACAAGAGTGGCTATGGAGAATGGAGAGAGGATGGTTTGGGGCTCAGGAAGAACCTGGGGTAGAATCCTGGCTGTGACATCTGTGTGACCCAGGGCAAGTCACTCAGCCTCTCTCCAAGCCTAAGTTTCCCCAGTGGGATAAATGAAGCAGAGGACGTTTGCACTGCCTGGGCCCTAGAGGTCAGATGTGGAACTAAAAGGCACCTCACAAATCCCCTGGTGACTTTTACAGATGAGGAGGAAGAGGCTCCGGGGAAGACACTTTGCCAATTCTACGGCACGGGGCAGGGTCAACCTTCCCACTAGGTCTTCTGACAAGAAACCTTGTGCTTTGCGCTCAACACTACCTTCCCTGATGAGAGGAAAGTGCATCGTAAAGCTTAAACCACCATAATAAATGTGCTAGCACTAATAAAGAGAAAAGGGGTTTGTACACAAACGGGTGGGGCTGGCTACATAAAAGGATGTTTTTTCTACTAGGGAGCAGAAACGTTGTTATTAAACACTGGAATGGGTTGTCAAGGGAGGCTATAGTAGAAACTCCTCTGGCCCGCTCTAAGAATAGATTCTGATGTGGCCCCGATGGCTCAGGCAGGGACTCACCCTGAAGGTAAGGGATGCACCCAATTCTTCAGGGTCTCTCTGCCCTGAGCGAGACTCTAGGATTCCCCGGCTCCGATCGCCAAGAAACCAACGAACACTGGCAGCCAGACAGAGGCTCGGGACGCGGCTTCTATTGCCACAAGTGCTTTGCCGGCCACTGGGGGGAGCTGAAACCGTGCAGTGCCTGCAGCAGACGGCACATGTCAGGGGATCAGGAGCTGAGGTAGAGGGTCCTGGGAGAGCAGGGATCACCTCTACTCTGCATCAAGCAGGGGCAGGGCCAGAATTCAACCCCCACCTCACCGATTCCAAATCCAGGGCCTTTTCCACTACGCCAAGACGGCCGGGAAGGTCCCAGGCTGAGTCCACACTTTTAATGAAAATTTCTATTTTTTTTCTATTAAAAAGGCAGCCAAAAGCAAGGTGTCAAAACGTTTTCACTACAAGTATATTAAAATGAGAAGTGCCGTATATTCAAAGTCATTAAACTTCTACCAAAAAAAAAAAAAGAGTTCCCAAACTTGCTCTCAGCGGAGTTTGATGTAAGGTCCTACTAGACTAGAGGGATCCACCCGTCCACCAACCGCAAAACTCTGGTACCCTGAGAAAGAAAGACTCGGGGAAAAGATTTCTGAGTTCAAGGCTTAAGTGCTTAACACACTGAAACTCAACTGACCAGAGAGTTCTTGGGCCAAGCTTTAGGATTTCCCCCAAGAATTCTAGTGCAGGGTAAGCTTCATCTTCCTCAGTTTTTAATTATCTGATGATTTATATTCATCTTTAAAATGAGTATAAAGTCAATGAAATGATAATTACCTTCCCTCCCCGCCACCTCCCACCTCCCTCAAAATGTGAACTGGACACTGAAGAATACTGACTTTGACTGGTGGCTTTTCTTAGAGCATCCCCAGCACCCACACCCCATTCCTGCAGCCAACGGGTCTCCTGCATCCCAGGGCCCTATTCTTCCCATTGCCCGAGTGGATAACATGTAATGGTATTTATGTTAGTAGAGAATGGATGACTGCAGCAAACCATTCTTTAGTGACAACAAAGAAGTTGAAGAAAAGGAGAAGTGAAATGGGCAAAAAGTCCTAATTCATTCCTCTTCATATCCTCTCACTTGTCCTATCTGGGATGTGAAATAAAGAACATGATCTATACTGCACAAAGATGACAGAATTTTCAATACGTATTCTTTTCTTTCAGGATTAAACAGAAGTTTCTTATAACTTCAGAACTAACTTTGCTTCTCAGATGGGAGAACAAAGAAAATACTAAAATATCACTCTGTCTAAGACGACTGCATGATCTAGTCATCTTACAGAATTCAATGAAAAACACGAGGAATTATATATTGTTAAAAATCTGCCTAAAAGAACCAGTATCTTATTAAAGATTACTTTAGCAGCATAATCCTGTGATCCGACACATAGAAAAATAACCAAAGGATCTATGGAATCTAGAATACTTCCACACTTTCCATCTACTCTATTAATAAGCATACGAACAGGGATTGTGCACATACCAATAATTTAAGTGTCCTAAGCAAAACCTAAACTCCAGAAATATATTTTTAAATACAAAGTATCTTATAAGATGTAGAGTGTTTGGTTTTGTCTGAGTTATCAATGCAGCTACTCTACAAGTCACCCACTCACAATACTCCCAATGCAGGCAGAAAATCCGAGACTCAGCTAAAACCCCATGTAATGCACACTGTCTAAAGATGCTGCTGTCAAAGTTGGTACATGCTATTTTAATTAGTGTCTATTTATGGTACAACTATGGAGTTCATATGTTAACGTCAATTTAGGTTTTTCAGAGTTAACTCTAAAGAAGTAAGATCACCGAGACCAAAGATGAAAACTTTAAAACTTAAATGAGCTATTTCACATGTAAAGAAACTTTTTTAAAGTTAATTCATTCTAGCTACTTCAAACTATTTTGAATGTTTATGCATGAGGAACACTTCCAATTTTACAAAATGCAGTTGCGAAATCCACTGCAATCCTGCCTATCAATACTTCAAAATGTAGGTGAACTAAATATATTAATAATGACAAATGAAAATATAGGAATACAGTTAACTCCAAGAATGAATTTTAGATGCAAGAGAGGCTTATGTTTTAAAAACTTCCACACATCTGTATACTTGAACCCCCAAAGTGCGGTCGTGGAGAGAGGGCCACGCTTGAACTCAGGAAGACAGACTGTCAAGTCACTCTCTCGTAAACAGGAGCTGAGATCCCACCGGCAAATCACAGCTTCACAGCGACGCAGCACACTCTTCCGAGCCTACAAATTACAACGAGGTAGCGATCTGCACTGGGGCAGAACGTCCCTTCTGAGAATTCCTCACAACTCTAAAGTCGCTATTTTCACAAATCACACGCAAAGACGTGTGTTACTTTGTACTCTGAACAGATAGCTCCCGGGAAATTCTCAAGTTCAGGAAAAGAACGCGCACGCACACGACTACGTTCAAAGTTTGGGGATTTCACTGCGAGAAAGAGGACTTCTATTAAAAGGGGCAGGGGACGCTAGCCTAGACACAGCTTTCTATAAAAAGGTCAAACAGCTACAATAGCGAGCCTCTTTTCTGGCCTTTATTTCGGTGCCGAGGCACTACAGGGAGGCGGAGGGAGCTCCTGCACCCAGGTCCACGAGGGACACCCACCCACCCACGCACGAGCGCCCAGGGGCCGGAGCAGAGAGCGGACGCTAAAGGGAGCGACCCGCGGGCCGGCTGGCCAGCTCTGGGCTCCGGCCCCGGCTCGGCCTCTCAAGCCCCGAGAAACTCCGCGAAGGCCGCCGGAGCTCGGAGCCCGCGTGGCCCGGCCGAGCGGTCACGGACCAGGGGCTGACCCCGGCCGGGAGCCGAGGGGAGCAGCGGGCCGCCGCCGCTGCCCTTCAATTCCTGGGCGAGGGGACAGCATGAGCGCCCAGAGTGGGCGCGCGAGTGTGTAACCGTGCGCAAGTGTGTTTGCGCGTATGTGTGAGTGCGTAAGTGTGAGAGTGTGTAAGCACGAGTGAATGTGTAAGTGTGAGTGTGTGTAAGTGTGTGTGCGTGAGCGTGCGGGGCACGAGCCTCCGAGGGGCCGGCCGGCGGGGGAGGCGGGGGGGGGTCCTGGGCCACTGGAGGCACCGCTCTCCGGCCTCCGACCCTCGCCAAGCCCCGCCGGCCCGGAGGCACCGGGACGCCCAGGCTCCTTCGCTTTACAGGGCAGGAAACTGAGGCCGAGGGCGCGCAGCCGGGGCTCGCTGGGCTGGGCGCGTCCTAGCAGGGGGCGGCAAGCACAGCAGCCCCGACCTCGGGGGCGCAGAGCCCGCGTCCACGCGGCGCCGGGTGGGCAGGGGCGCTTACGTTTTCTGCACCGGCTTCCTCCGCTTGCGGCTGGCGTAGGTGATGTGGGCGCCGCCCGCGCTGCTCATGGCGGCGGGCCCCGCGGGGTGCGGGCTGCGCGCGGACTCCGGACGGCCGCAGGTGGCGGGAGCGCGGCCGCAGGTGAGGCGGCGGGCGCGCGCAGCGGGGGGGGAGGGAGACGGGCGGCGGGGCGCAGGCGCACAGGCTCCGCTCCTCGGCCGGCAACCCCCGGGAGCCCCGCTCCACGGCGGGTAGGGGTGGGGGGCAAGGGCCCGCGCACGTCCGCCGCCTCAGGGGCTTCCCCGGCTCCTGACGCCCGCCCGCGATCTCGGGGCCGCCGCCGCCACCAAAGCTGCTCCTGCTGCCGCCGCCGCCAAGTCACCCCGAGCGCAGCGTCCCCGCCCGACCACCTCCGGGCAGCCTGACAGCCGCGCCCTCCGGCCCCGCCCCCTCGCGCCCCGCCCTCCAAGACCCCGCCCCCGGGCTCCGCCCCTCCTTCTGCGTCACCGCGGCTGCCGTGCTGTCCCTCTTCCGGCGCCATCTTGGTAAGGTCGGGAGCGAGGCTGTGGTCCAGGACCCGCCAGACCCAGCATCAAAGGATGCTGCCGTCCCTGCCTTGGATGCTGCTGGGAGGCAGCGCGGCGCCGTGTGCCGAAGCCCCCCGGGACATGGACTCGCACTGCGCTTTATCCACTTCCTGTAGGGCCGATGGCCCCGAGCCTCAATTTCCGCCTCCGTAAAACGAAGCCGTGTAGGCTGAGCTCAGTGCGCGCAAAGTCCTGGGGGCCGACAGCCCCTGCTCGCAAGTCGCTTCCACTCTGGGAGGGCGCCCCGATTACCTGGGTGCGGGGCAGTCGGTCTACATGGCAGGCTGTCCGCTCGTGGCAGTTGGAGGGCCCCCCCACGCAGCCCCCAGGTGCCGAAGGGCGGGGCTGGGTCCAGGTGTCCAGGCTCCCCGCGGCGCCCGTCCAGCCCCGCATACCGGCGGTGCCCGCATCCCCTCCGACCCGGGGACACCCGTGTCCCCTCCAGTCCCGCAGCCCCGCGTTGCCCGCACCCCCACTGGGGAGACAGTCCAAGCTTGTTTTCTGGAGCTTGCGTTCCCTACAGCTGAGATGGGGAGCATCCGGAGAGGGCAGCACCTGAGAGGTGGCTCGAAGGCGGGGTCTACAAGGGCACCAGGGATTCCCGGACCTCGAGGAAGGAGGGGAGCTCTGCTCTTGGGCCCAGGTTCTAGCGTGGGATCTGCCATTGTCTTCCAGTTCTCCCATGACCTTGGGAGTCTATCTTCTCCCTCTCCGCCTCATTCTCCTCCTCTATTCGGTGCTATCTGCAGGTTTGATTTGTGAATCTGATCATTAAGGTCTAAGTCCTAAAATTTTCAATTTACTTCTTTCAGAAGTGGGAAAAAAAAAAACCCTGCCTGCAGAGGTGGCAAATTCCCCTTAGACCCTGCTAGAGTAACGGTCTTGCTGACTTGGCAGGTGTGCGGTAGAGAGGATTTTAATAAAGGCATTCATTCTATCGCCTACAAGCCCCCAGCCCGTCCTAAAATGTGCCACTCAGGATCCCGCTGTCATCTGCCCACAGCAATCACCTCCTTATTCTAGGAGGCCATAAGATTGCATTTTTCTTTAAAAACAAAGGAACAAACAGCGGAAGCCCGTATCCCATTGTTAATTCACGTGCAGCTTGCAGTCTCTTTCAGAAGAACTGCTCTCTGGCCAGATTTCCCCTATCTCGTTGCTGTGAAACTGACCAAGGCGAGGCATAGAGATGTGGAGGTTGAGACTGGAGACACAGGCTTGTCAGCTATGTAGATGGGGCCATTACTGCTACAGAGGTGTCATTGAATGGTGTGGTTGTGGGCAACAAATGTAGAGAAAAGTTCTAGGAACAGAGCCTTAGGGGAAACCCACATTTAGGGCATGTGGGAAGGAAGAACCTGCAGAGGAGACAGAACTGGGCCCATCAGAGAGATGACAGAAAGTCACTGAGCAAAGCCAAGATGAGCTGGGGTGGGGGTGGGGGGAACAGAGGGTTGGTACTGGGGCGGATAAGCCAGCCATGTTATCAGCTTCAAAAAGGCTTAGGACTGATGGAGGCTGACAGAAAGCTATCACTGCAAACTGCATTTTAGAAAAGACCTTAATGAGATGGAGAGCATCCTACAGAGGGCACCAGAATAGTGAAGAAAACTTAGAGGTTGTCTAGTCTAATGCACTCATTTTACAGATGAGAAAACTGAGACCCCATTGGACTAAGTGACTTGCCCAAGGTCACACAGCTAGTCTCAGATCCTCGAGTTCCAAATTCAGCCCTCTTGCCACTCAACCATGCCATCTCAAGAACATGCCATCTGAAAAGAAGTCTTAAGCCCAGATAAGGGAGAGCTTTGGGCATCTGATATCCATTGTGAAGAATTTCACAGGGGAAGCACTCGTGCTGTCTGCAGTTTGCACATGGAGGTTTGCGTGTTGTCCCCCTATTAGACTGTGAGCTCCTGAAAGCCAGGCCTATCTTTTTCCTTTCTTTGTGTCTCAAGTCCTTTGCACAGTACCTGGCATATAAGACACACAGCACTAGACTTGTTCTGTGTGGCCCCAAATAATAGAACTGAGGGCAAAGGGTGAAAGTCACTAAAAGGCGCACCTTGGCATAAGGACCGCTTTCCTGATGGAGCTGTCCAAAGTCACAGGGGCTTTCTCTGGGAGTAATCCTCACCTGAAGACTGGCGAACCACTGGTCAAGTGGATGGGAAGGGAAATTGGTTACTATGGATGGGCCTCTGATGGTTCTGCCTCTGGCAGTACAGGAGTCCGTTCATTTTGTAGCCTTCAGGGGAAGTTTCAGGAGAGTGGTCATGGTAGCTAGATTTAAAAGAAGCTAAGCGTGTGAGTGGGTGATGCAAAAGTGAAATTATCAAATGGAGATTAATCCTATGGAAACTTTGGTGATGACAGAAACAGAAGGCAGTAGCTTCGAGAGCCAACATAGTTGGGTTTTTTTTTTTTGGTTTAGGTTTTCTGATTAGTTGGTTGTTTTTTATAAGAAAAGAATGTAGCTGATAAGAAGAAAGTCCCCAGAGACACCAAAATATTTGTAGCAACACTTTTTTGTGTGTGATAAAGAGTTGGAAACGTGTAAATACTCTTTGATTGGAGAATGGCTAAACAAATTGTGGAACATGAATGTAATGGAAGGTGACTGTGCTGTAAGAAATAACAAATATGAGGAATATAGAGAAGCACAAACAGATCTACATGAACTGATATCAGCAAAATGAATTAAGCAGAGTGAAGAAATAATAGGTCGATTACAACAACGTAAATGCAAAGAACAAGCACATTAAAAATCAGAAGTCAAATTTTCACCATTATAAAGAGCAAACATGGTTTGAAGGAAGAAATATAAGAAGGTAACCAGGTGGGAGATGGGAGGTCCAAAGTGTTGGACGTTGCATTTGTTTCCAGAGTTTTTCAATTTATTGATCAATGATGCAGATTTTTTCTGCTTTTTCTTTTTTCTTTTTTTTAGCATTTAAAAATTGCCATTTGCAAAAAATGAATAAAAACCAAAATAAATCTTAAATTCTATTTGCTATGTGGAATAGCTCTTTGAGAGGGGCAAGGGTATTGGGAGAAATGATGGTGATATAAAGAAAAAAAAACCAAAGAGATCAGTAAAAACTTATTTTAAAAAAAGAAAGAAAGAAATACGGAGGCCTTCAGGGGAAGGATTCAAGGGAAAAGGAAAACTTGAAGATGCCAGGAGAGACAGAATGAATGGATACACATTTATTACATGTTTATTTTTAAACATTCAATAGAGGCCAAGCACTGTACCAAGAGCTGAAGGAAGACAAATCTCTGCCCTCCAGGAGCCCACATTCTAGTCAAGGGACTTCTAGTCTGCTGCCACCATCTGCCAAGGATGGGTGGCCATAGGTGTTTGAGGAGTGAAGAAAAGGGTTAGAACAGCTTCTAGGGGGAGATCACCAGCAAGAGGAGAAATAAACAGCCATGGCTGCCGGCATAGGGGAATTGCTTTGTGCCTTTGGATCGCTGCATTCTCCCTCGTGGTGCTGCAGGCTTGGAGAGCCGGGCCCAGGGTCAGGAAGGACTGGATTGGAGTCCAGTGTCTGACCATCCCGGGCTCACTGAAGCTGGAGGAGATACTTAAACTCTCAGCGTCCCAGGTGGCCTGGAGTAGCTCTCACTCCAGGCTACGGAGCAGAGGTTGCTCTGCAGTAGCAGAAGGTGTTTCCACACTGGGAGTTCCTACACTAATGAAATCACAGGTTTGAATTCTCTTCCCTCCCACCCTTCAAATAACCTCCCATCGTCTCCTTTGACCCTCACCTACAGACCCACATATACCTCTGAAGGTTGATGATGCCTAAGTTTTGGCCCCATGTTACAATTGAGGAAATACCCTCTTAGAGGTAAAGTGCTTTGCTGAAGTCACAGCAGACTCAAACTTAGGCCCTTTGACTTCATATGTTGCTCATAGACTGTCGCCTGCTCCTTCAGTGGCAGGAAGATGGCTGACCAGCCCGGGCCACTTGCGTTTTAACTTAGATAGCATGACAGTAGAGTGGAACATGGCGCGGTGATGGTGGGGACCAGCCCATGGTAACCTGGGAGTGGGAAGGGAGAAAGGGAGGGGTGGCGTAGGCTAAGAGCTGGGGCCTGAGGGATCCTTTGGTGTGACTGGGGATGTGGTGAATACGCTTCTGTCCTGCCCAGGTAGAGTCACAGAAGCAGAGAATGTGAGAGTTGGAAGGAAGCTCTGGACCCATGTGGTGGGAGTCCCAAATCCAGGGTAGCCTGAAGGGGGCTTTGGACAAGACATCTGAAGCCCAGCCTGTCTGTGGTTCATTAATATACACTGTCAAGATCACCAATTTCCAGATTAGAATATTTTGTTACCAGAAACTGTAGGACATCAGTGCTCTTAAGACTTATTTGATGGGATTCTAAATTGTGAGTGAGGGTCACAGTGATTGGAGCATCACTGAGCTTAAGTCTCTTCTATCACTTCCAGGTAGACTGTGACATCCTGCTATTGTGAAAATAATCCCTTACTTTTTTTTTTTTTTGGCTGGGCAATGGGGTTAAATGACTTGTCCAGGGTCACACAGCTAGTAAATGTTATGTGTCTGAGGCCAGATTTGAACTCAGGTCCTCCTGACTCCAGAGCTGACGCTGTATCCACTGTGCAACCTAGCTGCCCCTTATTGTGAAAATAATCGAGACAACATTGACTTGGCACTTTAAAGTTTGCGAAGCACTTTATAATTGTTACCTCATTGCATCCTTACAGCAGTTCCATGTCAAACTTAGTTAAATGAAATTGCACAGTGGATACGGTGCCTGGCCTGGAGTCAGGAAGAGCTGAGTTCAAATCTAATTTTAGACATTGACTAACCGTCTAGTCACTAAACCTCTGTTTTCTCATCTGTAAAATGGGGCTAACAATAGCACCTACCTCCCAGGGTTGTTGAGAGGACGAAATGAAATCATATTTTTAAAGCACCTGCCACATAGTAAATGCTATGTAAGTGCTAGCTGTTATTATTTTCTAGGGCTGTATCAATAATAAGTGTCTAAAGTGTTATTTGAACTCAGCTCTTCCCGATTCCAAGTCCAGGGCTCTAGCCACTATACCACTTAGCTTCCTATGATGCTGTTGAGCTAATAGCCTACTGATATTGGTGGCATTTTCAAGGTTGGTATTCATTTCCCCCTTCTTACCCGCACAAGGGTAACGATCGATTTATATTGATCCATCAACATTCTTTCTTCTTCTTCTTGAGCTGTGGAAACATGTCAAGGGAGCTGAATGTGGGTATGGGTGTTGCCTATGGGTGTGAAATGGACCAAATATAAGTGGGGTTGTGAAATGATGATTATGTCTCCATTAAGCTGACAAATGAATACATGAATGAATGAATGGATGAATGAATGAATGCATTTATCGATCCCTTACTACATGCAAAGCATTCTGCTAAGTTCAGGGGACAGAACTAGAAACGTGAGGCCATCCCTCTTCTCAGGGGCTCCCATTCCAATTGGAATAGATGCCACACCGGGAAGGTCCGACTGCAGAGCAGAGAGAACACCCCACGAGAACTTTGGGTGCCGCAGCAGAGCCAATGGTAAGGCTCGGGATGGAGATGAGATTTGGAGCTCTTCACGGCAACAGACTGTCTTTGGCTTTTCTTTGTCTCTCCAGAGCTTGGCATGGTGCCTGGCACATAGTAGGTGCTTAATCCATGCTGATTGACTGGCCAGAGGGCACAGCCTTGGTGGATCCAGGCCCCCACGGGTTGGGTGGAGTCAGGAGGTGGTGTGGCAGGGGGGAGCGCTTGGCACTTGGCTGTTCTTTGGTCCCAGGGGCACTTGGTAACTTTATTGCTTTATTTAGCGTTAGCAGATGAGGTGATATCAAAGACTACCCTTTACTGACTCTAGCTGCATTGCAAGGATTGCCTGGAGCACGAAGAGTAGAACTGGGCAGTGAAGAGGCGATGCGGCCGGGCGTTTCTGGATTCTCTGGCAGGTCAGTCACTCGATCCAAAAGCATTTGTTCAGCGTCTGTGCTCTGTCATGGTCCTACCAAGCTGGGAAGGCTTAGAGTAGCTTAGAGTAGACCCCCTACCCACCGCAGTGGTGGGGACAACATGTCTGTTGTCCAAGAATCAGCCTAGATTCATGTGGAGAGGTTCATTGTCAAGGAAGGTGCAAAGACTATCCATGAAGTGGAGGGGTGAAGATCTGCACGGGTGAATGGGGTGTCCACAGGGGTGAAGTTGTACCTCTTTGAAATACTAAAGTAGAAAAGTCCAATCAGGTAGTGCAGACCCCCCCAAATCTGTCCTGTTTTACCTCAAGTGTATTGTGGACTGAAGTACCCCTAAAATTGCTTTATTTCCCTTTGTGCACCCACACAAGCAAGGTGGAGATAAACTAGTCAAACGCCTACTATGTGCTTGGCACTGGGGATATAAAGAAAGGCCAAAGCCAGTCCCTGCCCTCCTAGAGCTCAGAATCTAAAGGGAGAGGCAACATGCAAACAACTGTGTTCAAACAAGGTATATGTAGAATCAACTAGAGATATCTCAAGGGAAGGCATTAGAATTAATGTGGATCAGGCAGGGCTTTAGAAGTTAAGCTATATTTATAGAAACAACTACAAAGGTAAGAGAGGGGACGTTAAAAGCTTCTGAATGGGAAAGGGATTTTTTTACATTTTTAATTTTTATTTTTTTGGGGAAAGAGATTTTAAAAGTCCTCTGATTCTGTGGGTAGGTCCACCACTCAACTAATTGGAAACCCCTCAAGGGCAGGGACTGTCTTTTGGGCTCTTTTTGCCTCCCTAGCATGTCCTTGGTGCCTGGTACATAGTAGGGATTTATTAAAAGTTTACTGACTGGCTGACTGACTACACCAAGAACATGAAAATCTAACCTGTTTTAAGTCTGTACAGAAATCTGGAGAATCCTCAACCAGGCTCAGAATCTCAACAAGTAGCCACTTGTAGCAAGAGCACTTTATATTTTTTTTTTTGATGCACTAACACTTAGTATATTGATTTATAGAATCTAATAGAACTTAGTGGAGGGGAATTATTAAATACTCATTAAAATAATTGTTCTTTATTTCTTAGGAAACCTCATTTTGAGAAACTTCAGATAGACTCAAGTGGACAGATTTGCATGTCTCCTCCACTGATGAAGCTGACTGATCACACTGCCTGACTCTTTTCTGTGTCCTCCCCAACATTTCACAAAGGAGGTCCATCCAATGTGCTGACATCCTTCCTCATCTTCCCTGACATAGGGAGGATAGCAGTGGAGTGCTGGCTGTCCACTGATGGTCCAATGCCTGCTGTCCATGACCAGCCTCTTCTCTTCTTAGCAGACATTTCACACTCTAGCCTGAAGGCTGAAAACCAAAACAAAACACTCTGTTTTCACATTTTGCATCGAAACTTTGCATAATCCTCCTTTTAAGTCTCTGATTGCTATAATGAAATATTTAACCACAACAAAGCTGGATCGTTTTATTTCTTTCTTTCTTTATGTATTTGAGGGATGGAGAACAAAAAATACAGCATAGAGAGCTCTGCAGCTGAAGTGAAGAAACAGGGTTTGAATTCTGCGTCTGCCCCTTGTGTATCCTTCATAATGTCATGAAACATCCTGATCTTGGTTTCTTCATCCATAAAATGATGATGATGATGATGATGATGATGATGATAGCATTCCTTTAGGGCTTTCAGGTTTACAAAGCACTTTACATTTTCCATTATCCATTTGAGTCTCACAACAGCCTTGGGAAGTAGTTGCTATTATTATCCCCATTTTACAGATAAGGAGACTGAAAACAGAGTTTAAGAGACTTGCCCTGGCTCACACAGTCAGTAAATATTTGGACTAAGATTTGAACTTGGGTCTTCCTGATGAGAGCCAGGACTGGTATCAGGAAGACCTGAGTTCAAATCCAGCCTAGCTGTATGACCCTGGGCAAGTCACTTAACCCTGTTTACCTCAGTTTCCTCATCTGTAAAATGAGCTGGAGAAGGAAATGGCCAACCACTCCAGTATCTCTGCCAAGATAACCCCAAATAGGGTCACAAAGAGTCGGACATGACCAATACAACTGAACAACAATAACCTCCTGACTAAAAGTTCACCTTTCCACCCACTGTACCACCAAGCTGCTCCCAACACGAGGGGTCTAGACTAGAGGAGCTCTAAGTCTCTGGTCACAATGAAGCCTGTCAGCTTGTGGTGAATGAATTCCATCATCACGAGTTTCATTGAATTGGACCAAGAGCAATGCAAATGTATTTTAAAAAGACATGTTGGCAGGACATTTGCATATCTCCCCCCTTTTTCTGATAGGTCCTGATCTTGGAGACTGTCATTCCCAGGGTATAATTAGGCCTCTTCCTAGCTCTAGTCTTCATATTGTTAGTCAAGGGATGTCTCCCGTCAGGCAGCTGCTGTACTGAGAAATGGGGGATTGTTATCTGATGATGAAAATTCTAAACTCTTATGCCTTACATATAATGACTTATATCTCATATCCATTAGAGAGTTTTTCAAAAATCAAATGCATCTTTGGTATTTAAAATTATTTAGGTTGAAAGATATAAATACAACTTTAGTATAATATAGTCTATATTATAAATTACTGTGGGTAGAAATGAATGAAGACTACTGAATAAACTTAGACTGTTTATTGGTTAAAGTAAAAATGCAGAAAGTAGAAAAAGACAAAAACAATACTCTAAGTGAAGCTTAGGAAAATATAAATAATTATGAAATCCTGTCCTAAAACTAATCTTCTGCTCTGCCAAACTTTAAAGGGTAGCAAATTCCAGGAAGACATGAAAGGTTGGGGTGGAAAACTCTTCTTCTCCTGAGGTTAAAAAAAAAAAAAGTTCAGTCCAAGGATGAGAAAAGGGAGTATGAATCACCTTCAGACTGTTTGACTGTAAAGTAAAACCAGAGGTGATGGATCTATCAAGCATTCAGGGGTTAGCCAGTGCCTGGCACAGAGTAGGCACTTAATGAATGCTCTTATTGGGCTGACTGGCAGTTCCACGATCCGGCAAAACTTTGAAGATGTAGGAAGCAGACAGGAGATCAGGGGCTGTTTGTGTATTTTGTTTGTGAGGTTACGGAGTAAAATGTACACGAGGTGTTTGAGAGCAAAGCTAGAACCCCAAGTGTTTCAGCAGCTGCAGGGCTAAGGAAGGTCATTATTATTACTATTATTTTGCAAGGCAAGTGGGTTTAAATGACTTGTCCAGGGTCATACAACTAGTAAGTATCAAGTGTCTTAGACTGGATTAGAATTCAGGTCCTCCTGACTCCAGGGCTGGTGCTCTATCTACTGTGCCACCTAGCTGACCTTAAGGAAGGTCATGATAATTGCACATGCAAAGATCTTAACCGCACCATGCTAACTAAAATTATTAGCTATTACTTCACCTTCTGAAGTCATCTATATGCTATAAATTTGCTGGCATTTCTCCTGAAGATGGGCAAATACCAATCTTTATGACCCAGCTATCTACTCTTGGATTTTTTTCTTGGTTTCGTCTTTTGCTTGAGAATCCTTGGCTTTCCCATGATGTTATCATATTTCAGTGAGGCTAACAAGTCTAACAGTGGTGGGGAACCTTCTAGGTCCTTTGGATTCAGTCAAAGGGCTGCACTTGAGGACCTAGAGGGCCGCATGTGGCCTCGAGGAAGCAGGTTCCCCACCCCTAGACTCTAGCATCATAGTATAGAAATTCTTAGGAAAAATACCAGGTTGAATGCAAATTGTCCTTTCCATAGGTCCCTTCTGGTTCAAGTATGATAACCTGCCCAAACATCAGAATAATCTGCCATTACCTGATCGGCAAGCTGACAGTGGTGAAGGAGTTCTGGTTATGTAATTAATCAAGGGGATGTAGCTGTGGGTGGAGCATCCTGTAAATAAACAAGTTCCCCACCCTTCCCGCCAGAGGCAGAGTGCAAGGATTTCCCTGGTAAAATTTGAAACTGGACGAGAGTTGTTTTCCTGCTTAAACCTCGACGGAGTTCCCACATGTTTTTAAAGAAAAAAAATGATTCTTTCTGCAATGGATGTTAGGAGGCATTCCTTTGGCTTCCACTTCTTAGAGAAGTAAGTCATATAAGCTCTAGCCACATTTCTACACATGCCTGGAAAAACAGTGGTAGGAAAGTGCCATCACAAAATGATGGATAAAGATCACCCATCTCTATACAGTGTCCTCTGTCCGAGCTTGAAACAGTATCTATAAATAACATTTTTGTAAATCTCATAATATTTTAAATGCACTCGGGTAGCTTCTATTAAAAGGAATCTGATGTCCCTCCTAGCCCTAAATCCAAGGATCCTGGGATGAATGCCACTTCTTTCTTTATTTTTTTTAAGATGCTCAGGATTGTTCCTCTAATCTGCTTTACTGACAGCCAGCACTCTGTGTTTCTCTGAGGGAGGAGAGTCTCACTTGACTTGTGGTTTTGACTTGGGTTACATGCTCAGCAATCTCCAGAGTGACTGCATTTGTTTTTCTGAAGTTCACCAACAGTCAAAGCAAAAACAAAAAGCCTTAATGAAAACCGGACCTGAAAGATGCCGGTGATGAGGGAGCAGATGTCCTCAAATGGATCAGGAAAGCCAGTGGAAAGGATCTACTGTGTAAACCCTGACTTTTTCAGGTTGGGTGTGAGGAAAACGTTGTCCCTACGGGACAGTTACCAGGGTACTCCAAACTGAAAACAGATCTGCTCTTGAGTTTATTTCCATATTTTGTATGAAGGGCTTTGGGGTTTTTGGTCAAGATTGTCTCAAATTTTCTACCTGATTTTCCTCATATTAATATCTTCTTTGTGAAAGCCAAATATTAATGAGGTAACTAGACTCAGGATGAGTTACTAGAAAAGAAAAAAGAAAAAAGCCCACCTGTTGTGGTTGCAGCCTTAGCCAGTCTTCAAGAAGGCCATGGTTCAGGGGCAGATGAGCCTTCTTGTCCCTGGTGTCCCCAGACCCCTCTGACTGTCTTCCTCGGCTGACCTGGGCTGGACAACAAATGACTCCTCATTGTGTGTTTCTTGGATTTCCCTACCGAGATGCAGTCTGGACAATTTCTAGATGTATTTGGAGGAGTTTTGGGGGAGTGTGCTATGCTACCGCCAGCTGTTCTGCCATCTTGGCTCCACCTCCCTTCCATCCATTTTGTATGCACCTTCATGCACTCCATTAAAATGCAATTTCCCTGAAGGCAGGGCTCAGAGTTACCTGCTTTTTATCCTTGATGCTTAGCATGGTGCTTAGCACATTGCTGCTTTTCCTTCATGCTCAAAGAAGAACACAATAACATCACGAGGATGCGGGTCAATGTTCAGTGTGTTTGGCTGTGGCTGATCAGGTCCATATGAGCTCAGAAAGTTCTACCACAAGCCAGGCACGAATGGTCCGCATGAACGCTCGAGACAGAGATGTCTCTAAATGTGCACAGCTCATATGTCTGTGAAGCTACTTTTATTCTGCTTTGCTCATAGAGAACAGCATCTTCTTTGGTGCAGGCATGCTGTTCTGAACAGTCCTGCGTCAGCATCTCCCGTGTCTCACAGTTGACAAAGTCTTCAGAGAGACCTTGAGAGGGTCCTTGTGGTCCTTCTATTGACCTTCATGTAAGCACCTGCCTTATGTGGACTCCCTGTAAAATTGTCTCTTAGGCAAGCCTACCTCTGGCATTCAAGCCACATGACCAGCCCATCGGACCTGTGCTCTCTGCAGTAGAGTTTAAATGCTTGGCAGTTCGGCTTAAGAAAGGACCTCAGTGCCCAGTACCTTACCTTGCCAATGTAACCTGCGGAATCTTCCTGAGACAGTTCCCATGGCGGCGATTCGATGTCCTGGCAGGGCAGTGGCAGACTGTCTAGGTTTCACAGGCATGCGATGATGAGGTCAGCACAATGGCTCTGTAGGCATTACTAGTTTGGCAGGCAGCCTGATACCTCTTCTCTCACACACTTTCCTTTGGACCCTCGAAAGGAGCTAACTCTGGCCATGCGTGCACCTACCTCATCATCTATGTGGACATCCCTGGAAAAGATACTGCCAAGGTAAGTGAACTTGTCCACAGTATTCAAAATTTCTCCATTTGCTTGTTCCATGTGTGGACAGTGTGGTACTGGTTGGTGGAGAACTTGTGTTTGCTTGGTGTTAACTGTTAAGTCAAAATTAGTGCAAGCAGCAGAGAACTGATCCGTGCTTTGTTGTGTCTGAGCCTCAGAGGCTGCATCGAGTGCACAATCATCTGCAAACAAAAAGTCACGCACCACCTCTTCCTCTAGTTGAGTCTTGGCTTGTAGCCTTTTCCATTTCAATGTTTTGCCATTCGTGCAGTAGCAGATCCTGATGCCATTTGTATCCTTGTTAAAAGCGTCCAACAGTATCACTGAAAACATGTTACAAAGCATGGGAGCAAGCACGCAGTCCTGCTTCACTCC